AAATCTGAAGAAGCTTTCTATGAGGAGTTATCGGACTGGGCTTACTACACCCTTCGGGCATCGAGTGTCCTAGCTTTTAGAGCTGTCGGGCGAGGTGATGCTTTCTTGTCTGACCGTCTTCAGATGGAGAAGGAAGTGCTCAAAGAGTGTGTTAATGCCCTTACTATCGAACAAGACTAATGTTTGGAATAACATAAGAATATTATACCTCACTTTTGAATATATTGGTTGTTGTTGAATCTTTTAAGTACCCTGGCACGCTGGTTAAGAAGGTGAAACTGCTTGTACATGAAGTAACAGAATAATGGAGTGTTAACTGTTGCTCAAGCATCTCTATCTAGGATGTAGGTTTCCCTTGATGAGGCAAATCGGTCATTGGATCTTATTCAAAAAAGGATAGAATAGCTCGATGCATCATTGAAGGAATCTCAAGAAGGTCAGAAGAAAACTGAATACGGCCTCCAAGAGATGTGTCTTGAGAACCTTACCTTGTCCAAGGAGTACGCTAAGTATTTGGATGAGAGTTACTCTATAGAACAAGACTCTTTTGAATGCTTTGCAGTAGGTGGAATATTTTTATCCCATTAGGCTCATCTCTCGAGAGTAAGTTCATCCTAACCAGGTGATGTAAGATGGAAAGTCGGTCTCCTGGTGTATTAGTCACCTTTTTTTTGTATGTACCTGATGTGTTTGAAACCTATTGTATATGTACCTTCAATGAATAGGTAGGCTTTATGGTTCCAACTTTGTAGTGTATATTTTTGTTTATGTTACTTACCTTTATTTTTTACTATGTATATAGTATTGCTTTAGGTCCTGAGTTCTTTTCTACAGTAGGTGACTCATCTTTCAAGATTGTGCTTAAAGTTTTATTTGGCCTCTTTGTTGATCGTGTCCGGAAAATGATCGATACCCCTTCCTTGCCTTAAGGTAAGAATTTGGTTTGAGGTCAGCGTAATTTGGAGTCACCATTGCCTCTAGAGTGGCTAGCTACCAATAGGGGATGAGCCTGTAATTGCCACTTTGTGGTCCATTATATTTGTCTATGCATTGGCACTATTGGGATTTGATTGATTTTGTTGAACACTGGTGGCGTTTGTGACAACACCCTTGAGTCTTTTGTGATGGGGCTTCGATTGTTTTGGTTGTACGTCAGTGGCGTTTGTGACAACACCTCTAACTCGTCACTACCTTTATAATCACAAGGAAAATAGAGTTTAGTGAAAATTTATTTATTCTCTAAAGAAAATATTCTCGTACATCATATCAGTATATTTGCTTTAAATATGCAGTCAATTAAAATTAATCAAGTGATATGAACATTATGGTATTTCACTATAGAGCCTTGTATATCCACTTTGCCCCAAATAAGTTGGTGTTTATTGTCAGCGGCTCGTCGAGGACATTGTGGTATTTAAGCTTGAGGTGGATCAGGAAATCCACTGCATCTAAGGTCCCTGCGAAAGGTCTTCCCAAGATACAATTATAGACGCTTTTGCAGGGGACCGCCAGAAATTGTGATTCGACTGTCTCAGTATCTCATCCTTCTCCGAGAGAGATCATCAGTTTGCATACCCCTAGGACGAGTTATTGTGTCATTGAAGGCTTGCACGTCAGATCCCTCATAGGACTATAATTTCTCTTATTCCGCCCCATCTTCTTAAAGAGGTTCGAGAACATGATATCGCATGAACTTCCTTCATCAATGAGATCTCAGAAGACGTCAAAATTTACAATGGTGGTCGTTATCACTAGAGAAAATATTTCCTTTGAGATCTCTCATATCTATTCACTCACAGAATCTAATGATAAGCATTTCTAGTTTCGTGGTTGAAACGAAAGCTGCTTAAACCATATGCAATGAATATGGAGTCTAACACGGACATCTATCTGATTAATTTAGACGGTTGACAATACTATAGCAGACAAAATTGTCTGTTTTAGGCGACGATACAAGAACACATGTTCCTCGCGTTCGCCTACTTTGCTTCGCTTCTAAATCTTTCTTTCTGGTGAACAGCCCACAACAACAAAAATATAGTAGTGAAAATAAATAACTAAATAAATAAATCACTAACATAGACAATTAATGTTAAAAAAAACAAAATAAAAATTTTGAAATGTTTCTTTACTAATAAGTTTTGTTTTCATAATATTAAAGATTAATTTCTCATTAAAAATAATTGCAATGGACAACGAAGTTTCAAAAATATTAAAATATATTGTTTAAATAGAACAATGTGTATTTAAAAAAAATATAAATATAAAATAATATAATAATATGGATTTTTAAAATAACTCAATGACAATTTTGTGTGTGCTGAATTAGTATATTTAATTAGTATTTTTCTTAAAAGATTCGAATTTCACTATCTCATCATATAAGTTAAAATTTCCTGAGGTCAAATTTATAAGTGTTTTTTTTTTCACACACTTAAAATTAGTTATATATTTGTACCCCAAAAGCATAATTGTATTTATTAAAATATCATTGATTACTATTAGATTAAATTCATTAAACTTGTGTTGAGATTATACATTCATCATAGAAAATGAAAAATTAGTAGTTTTTTTTTAAAAACAAAGTTATTAAATAAAATTAAATTTGGCAACTTTAATTAATTGAGATGACTTTTATTGTTAATCTTTTATATTTTTTCACAACTCTAGGTGAAAATTCAAAAATATCTGTAATTTTTAAAGATGTATTTTCAAATCTATCTATTTTTAACAAAATTGAACACAATAGAATGAATCATTTATTTATATTTAATTTTAGAACTGCATATTTAGATAAACCTTTTTTTTTACGAAAAATTGTGTTTTCAAATATGCAATTTCAGAAAGTGTCTATTGTGTGGTTTTTTTTTAACTTAGCATTGGATGTATTCGAATATACAGACATAGTATTCAAACATCAATAATGCAACAAATATGAAAATACTAACCATGTCCATATTAAAAAAATCAATTAAAAAATATAAAATTAAATAAAGTCTGAAAATAAAATTAAAAATTAAATAAAATCAAATTAAGAGTCTATAATTGTTTTTAATATTTTCAAAAAAAATGAAAATATTAAATAAATTAAATAAAATAGAAAAATAAGAAATTCAAAATTTTTAAGGTGGTGTATGTATTTAATTCCTAAATACCGAACTTTGATTCAGAGTCGATTTTTAAAAAATAGTTTTTTATGCTATGTCGCGTAAAGGCCAGAAACCCAGGAGCGCAAGACTAGTACAGGAGGATACAATTCATATGATTTTAATATTGGTTAAAATTAACAGACAGTTCCCGGCAACGGTGCTAATTTTAACGAAAATGCATAGTAAATAAGATCAAGAGTGTTTTTAAAAAATTTTCAGAAATGTATCTCCGAATTCATCTTAGAAAATTTTGAAAATACATCTTCAAACTAATTTTTGACAAAAACGGAGTGGCGGCTTAACTTACAAATAACTGAGTGATTTAAAATACGCCCAAAAATATATTTTCAAAATAAAAATTCAGTTATACTTCGATCAGACCAATCCTATTCATGAAATTGGTGAACTTATATTTTTTAAAATAATTTAATATGGAATGTTATCTAAAGAGCTGAACCTAGGTCCCACTGCTAGGATATTCTTCATGTCATTGATGATTATAAATTATTTTTAACTAATGATAATTTTACTTTTATGCAACAATTACTTTTCTTATTTTTCTTTTTTCAATAAATTATTTGTCTTGTCTCACTATCTTTTTATAATAAATGATAATAATAATAGTAATAATAATAATAATAATATAATAATAACAATAATAATAATAATAATTTTGATTAAGAATATTCACTATAGTTTTGACATTAATAATAGATAACTCGGTAAATATAAATATAAACAACAAAAATAAATTTTTTAAATAATATTAAAAGTAACTTTAAATTAATTAATTAATTAATTATATAATATAAATATATTTAATATTTTTATATTATAAATTTTTTAATTAATAATTATGTGATTCAACCGGTAACTCGTGTTCTGACTAATCCTCATAACTAACATCCTGATCATATATTGGGATTTTAAAACATTGCTTTTACCTTATAAATAAGGCCTGGAGTATAAAAATTTGAAATTTCATTTACACCTATTTAATTTGTTTGTTTGAAAACATAAGTTTATTTTCACTCTTTTATGAATAAAAAGAATCATACATATTTTTAATATATTAATTGCTACAAATACTTTTTGATTTTTCAAGTAGGTTTATAACAAGGGACAGGTAGAGATTACACTAGCATAAGATATTGATATTGTCCTTTTCAATATCTTTCATCTCTATCTTTCTACTTCTCTTCTTTTCATCCCTCTTAAAATGTGTGTTTCAAATTCTACATATTTTTATTAATTTAACCTACTTAATAAAATATTTTATTCAAGAATAAGTTGACAACTCAGTTACTCTAAGAACTAAGTCATTACAAATATGAAATTCCATAATGTATTCCTACAATAGTTAACCCCGTCATTTATATGAACCATATTAACATGTCAAAATGTTAAGTTATTGTGACTTATATCACAAATTTAGCATAAAAGTTTAAAAACCACAACAAGCTTAATTAACATATCGGCTTAATAACATAGAGAACATGCATAAAAGTATTGTTGGTCAAACGTTGCAATCTAAATTGAAAACCAGACTAAGTATTCAATAAATGTAGGAATTCCATTAAATCACTTGCAGATGGCAAAACTTCAAATTTGGTAAACATGCTTAATATCTGATAAGCTGAATCAGAATAAGAACCTAGCTGAAATAAAAGTATATTTGGTAAACATGCTTAATATCTGATAAGCTGAATCAGAATAAGAACCTAGCTGAAATAAAAGTATACTCCTCTGTACACTAATTTGTTGCATGACCTTGCGAACTGAGAATATGCTCCCACCAGTGTTGGTCTAATTTTTCATAGACGATAAAGGCAATATTTACCATCATATCTATCACTCTAGAACAGCAACCTCTTGGTCAACCCTCCAATAATTTGTATCATTGAACTCCTTCACACCAGGATTGCCCTCTTCAGAGTTTTCTTTTTCAGGCACTTTTGGGGATACATTTCTTTTTAATGGCCCTGCCTCCCCAACTATCCCTTCTTTGAGGGCCTGTTCCATTGCATTACCCGTGCCTTCTAACTCTACACCCACAAACTCCACATCCTCTTCAAATAAAGAGGGTACAGCTACCGATCTTTGACTCGAATCCTCATCCGCATCCATTGAATCTCTAGTGATTGGTGATCCATTTGATAGTACAGATTCCCCATTTGAAGAATTCGGGTTCTGATCGCCTAACTGAGACTTACTAGACAAATTACTGCCTGATTCATTATGATCCAGAAAAGGATTCATACTTGAGCTAGCGACTTGTATATCTGATGGTTCACCCCATCCCACCCAATCTGGTAAAGGTCTATCACCAAACAAGTCCTCATTGTCTGTTGCCTCAAATTTGTAGAATCCCATGTCGTTCGATGTGCTTGCTTTCCCACTTTCAAAATCTAAAGTGCCTTCATTCATGGAATCACTACCAGTTAATCCACTAAGTATGTTCGTGCTTGAACTAGATGCACCATTCACAGTATTTTTGTTGTCAGTCAATTCTTCATCCTCTCCAACCACCACCTCATCATCATCATCACTACTGTTGCTACCTCCATTTACAGCTCCATTCAAGGTTATCTCATCCATCATCTCAGAGGATGATGTTCCCCCATTTGCATCACCAACTCTGTCATCTTGGAAAGCAAACCAATTGGAGTTTGTAAACAGATTGCTGCATAAAACAAATAATGCCAACTTATATCCGCATTTACTGTTGAGTGAAATAAAAACACATTCTATTACAGTAGCTGACATGATAATACAAAACATGTTTGTGTAAACAATGTGAGTTCTAAGAGTGCGTAATTTTGCATTTTATATATAAATATATCATACTGCTGATAAAACAAGAAGATTGTATTTCTCCTAACAAAATTACTGGCTACAAGAATACGACAAAATAAATACTCACCTCCCTTGATCATCACCAAGTCTAAGGGAAGATATGACTACCTCAGCAGAATCATCATCAAAGTACACATCCTACATTTGATTGAAAAAAAGATAGTTGACAGAATATAAGATTACTAGATGAAAGCATATAAGATTACTATATGATAGAATGCTTATACAATCAAATAAGTTATCAGAAACTGCAAGATTACTAGGTGTTGGAAAAACGCTAGCTGCCTCCAATGCAGCCCCACCGTGGGCTTCCTTCTTTGCAATTGACTTCATGTTTAAATTAAATTTGTCCCAAATTCTAGCATGGCATTAGAGTTTATCCTATATTTTTTATTGGGCCATTATCATTAAACCATACTCTAAATGTCTAGTCCTAGGCATGACCAGGGTGTTGAAAACCCTAGTCGCTTTCATTGTGGCTCTCTTGGGTTGTCTTCATTGCATTGAGCATGAGGGGGATTGTCTGTTCTTGTTATAGGCAAATGATAGTAAATTAGTGGTCAAGTTATTTTCCAGATGTGAACCCTGGACATCTTCGTTAGAGCTACTACAGCATTCCTCATCTCACCAGCTAAGTTGTCTCCTTGGCTGTGATGGCAAATTATGACATCCCACGTCGAGTACAAATATGGTATGGTCAAAGTAGCCCTTTTAATGATCGGACAATCCTCGCCCCTTGACCTAGCCTTTGGGTTAAGCGTTGCCCAATTCTAAGACTATATCATGGGTACCGCACGAGAATCATGAATAAAGGAAAACGAGGGATTGGGGTAGTAATAACAACCTTTCCTACATGGCTAGGAGGATGAGAAAGATTTGAAATAGTGATAGAAGGAAGGGAAATTTAGGGGAGAAGGCATTCAATCAATTTATTATATTCAGGCCTACGGAAAGGAAGGTCTCTGAAACCTCAAAATTCTGACATTTTGTCTTCGGTTTTCTGTTTCAATGGTGTCAGGGTGATGAGCCTGTGATTCTGATCTCTATAGTTCAGGTTTATTCGTATTTTCCTGTAATTATATGTTTTAATTGATTACTGTTTGACTAGGAGGGAGGCAAAAAGAAAAGCAGCCAATGGTCGAAATAGTAGAGCAGATTAGAAGCCACAGAACATGTCAAATGGTCACTTACATATATACACAGGCCCATAATGAGCAAGGGATAGTAACCAAATTGCAAAGTGAGAAAGACATTTAAAAGAGCCAAAGTAGTTCTCAAAATATGTGAAATCAATAAAATACAATTATTACTTGGTTACTATAAATAATCAACTATTACCTCATCATCTCGTTCAACACCGCCATGCTCCTGTAATTAAGATCATCATTAATCTAGCATATCTAGGCTTGTCCAACATGAAGACAAAAAATGGGATATGAAACAAACCTCTTCATTGTCCTCGTTTCCATAAATTTTGTATCCAAAAGCCTGGCTCAAATTATTTGCTAATGATGTAACATCATAGTCTCTGTCATGAATATCATCGTCATCACTATCCCTCATCCTATCATGTAATGCAGTTGGACGTCTGCACACATAAACATCAACAAAAATATTAAAGGATTGCATCATTCACGCCTCTCTGTTTTTAATGTCAAACATTGAAAACCAAGCCCACCAAACACCTATTGCTCAGAATAACCACACTTGTCACCATATGACTACTCATTTTAAAGCGTTTGGTACTCTGATACCACTAAATATGACACCCTTTATCTCACATGTTATGAAAGGATCGGTTAGCATAGAAATATAGGACTAAAAACATAAGCCTTGTCTATGTTTACAAATATATCCCTAAACCAAAATTTACACCAATAAACTTGATGCCAAATAAATACACTTTGATCCTCTCAGTGATACTTTTTCTAAGACCTTATAGCTTGACAACTGAAATCAGAGCTTACCCACAAGCCCAGCGATTAACGTTCTCAACCAAACTCCGCTCCTGAAGAACCGTAGCTTGCCATTCATTCCACTCATGATTCTCCTACAAATGTTGAATATGTAAAGTTTTAATATATATTATAGTGTGTTCACTCAAACATAACTTCTAGACGAAAGTTCAACCTCATTGTTTAAGGCATAAGAAACAAAAGAACTATGCAACTGAGTCAGAGAACAAGGAAGTGCAGAGGAACACGTACAAAATAATGACAGTTATTTAGAAGAAAAGACATAGCAAACACATTTGATGCTATTATTATGAAAACAATTATTAAAAACTGAATCAAAATGCATAAATGACTTCTATCCTCAAAGCAACACAAAATGAATTATTACACAAGACTTTAATACGAGATACCAAAGTTTCTATGATGAGTTTTTAAGAAAAAATTTCAAGGATTCAATTCAAGGCATATATTATACTACAGATCTTTCTGATATACAATATTAAGATACAAGTTGGCAAAGTTTCATACCCTGCTTAGTACTTACTATGAAAATCAAAAACCTTGTTCCATGAATTCGTAGAAAACTAACCTGAAGACGTGCTAGAATGCGGCTTTGGTTGTGAGTCAAGTGAACGAGTTTATTAGCAATTCGAGTAATATGTCCAATGTTTCCTGCCCGGGTCGCCCGTTTTCCAGCCGCAGGTATTGTTCGCTGCAAGATCATGCATTCAGTGAAAAGATGTTCTTGTAGACCTAAACAGTCATATAGGATATATCACATGAACTCATGTTTGATCCATCTTTCTTTTCACTTTTACTTCAATAAAACGTGAAGAAAATAAAGATAGCTGAATTTCATACTCTATCAAAAAAATTCCAAGCGCGTCATCATGCATTCAGTTAAAAGATGTTCATTTAGACCTAAACAGTGCATATAGGATATATCACATGAACTCATGTTTCATCCATCTTTCTTTTCACTTATACTTCAATAAAACGTGAAGTAAAGATAGCTGAATTTCACACTATTAAAAAAATTCCAAGTGCGCCATGTTTCTCAGCATCATACTTTTAAGAACTGTGAATCAATGACCAAATACACACACAATCTCTCATGTATTAGTTTGAGACATCCATTTACCTGATTGCCTTCAGCAGAAAGAATACATTGTTTATCTACTTGGAGAAACCTCCCAATTAAATCACAACCTTGGAGAAGATGATCAACAATGGCATCAGCTTTGCTCTCCAAACATGATAAAATGATACTTTCTATGTGATGGTGTAACAAGTTATTGAACGGATACCTGTATTGTAGATAATGTTTCAATAGTAAGAAACCCGTATGCACAATGCATCAAGGTCATATTAGACATCTATGTGACTTTGCAAAACTGAAAATTAAAAGTAGCTTACTCAAAAAAAAGGTCAACAATTCGTCCAATGGTTCCCGAGTTGACCAATTCTTTTTCTGCCACTTCATTTCTGGTTTTTAAAAGTTCTGCAATAAACTCCACGATCTGAAATAAATGGAAATTGATCAGAGAAAGTATATGAAAATATGATATTAGAGCTATGTTTGCTTAGGACTTTAAAAGAGTGCTGGAGATACACGGTGAAGGTTATCTGTGGAATAATATTAAATCCCCTGTAGGCAATACGCACACGACCTAGTTTCAAACGGGGGCAGCAGCCACAGCAAATTTGTGATAAAATATAACAAACCTTCAATCTATGCTTGCCAAGTGGAGGTCTCAGTTCACCGTATGTTGTAGGCAATACCTTGTCATCAGATGACACATTCAAAAGCACAAGCAAATCCCCTGTAGACAAGATATGCAACCTTAATGACGATGATGGTGATGATGATGTGACAAGGCTACTCTAACAAGATGTGCCAGATTATGTATAAAGTGGGAGTAAAAAATTTTGTATCATTCCTCAAGATTCTAATTCAGAAATAATAAAAGGTAACAAGATGCATTACTACTACCATCAACTACAACCCCTCCACCCCCAAGAAAAAAGCCAAACAAAACTAAGCTGCACAACATGTTAACCAAAAGGTATTTTGATAGCTATTGATGGCTTAGAGGAATTGGAAATGTCAATCAAAAACGAAAAATCAATAAACCAGATATTCAATAGTTCTTAAAATAATTAGAACCCTAACCACATTACAACCCACTTTATTGGCAAAGCTCCAGGCATCTTTATTCTAGGAAAAGTATTGATCAATTCCCTTTGAATTGGTAAACACCAGGTTATTCTGTTAAACCACTACTCTCGTGATTTTATTTACCGGGACAAAAAAATGGTAAATGGTAAATTTCAATTTTATTGTAACAAATGGAAATCTTAAATTGAAAATCTCAAACCAAGTCAAACATAGAAAAAGTCCACATAATGTTACAAAATCACCAAAAATCTATAATCACATATTCCTTTCTTGAGGGTTCCACTCAATACACCCCACCTGAATACTGGGGACTTCATCCTGTTCCTTTTTTTCAAAATCTTATTATTCATCATAGTGATTATGAATCTCATAACATAATTGAAAATATCTACGCTTTTCTAAACAACTATAATTTCCTTTAAGAATGTCGAAAATATAATATGATCTTTGTATTTATTGTTTAGTGTAGGCATATCATACTGTATCATATCAGATAAATTGGAATAATATCTCCTATATCTATATTGTATGTATTGCCTTGAGCCTATATAAAATTTAATTGACTCCAAAGTGTGGTTGAAACACCCAATATTCGACATGTAACATAAATAAATGGAAAACCTAACGGTAAACGAATAAACTATTCCGCACACGGGACAGCACAAATTATACTTACCCAGTCTAGGGAGCATTGCACCAATAGTATCTGGATTTACAGGAATTGGTGGCTCATACATATTTTGACTTCGGAATGAATGAAAAAGTGAAGATGAAACAGCTGATTTTTTGGGATCCAGTAAAGAAATACACACACAAAGTGAGTTGACAAGGCCAGACTTTGATTGTGAATTGTCCAATGCGTAATCCAAAATTTTTGCAACAAAACTGCAAAGTAATAATAAAAATTACTATCCATTTGCAGGTATATACTATGAAAGCAGAAAGTAAGTAAAGCCTTGCAGTGCAAACCTTGGACTTGAAAGCTTAATTGCTAAAGTGGATGATGGAATTCGAGTTATTGTACATAATGTTTCAGCTACATTGGCATGAACTTCAGGGGGACTCTGGTTCAAACAAAAAGGAAGCAGTTGTCAGATTATTCATTTATAATTAAAGACAATACAGAAGCAAAGGTCCCATAAAATTCAAACACTCCATCTTTCAGTATCTCAAAGGATTGTTTTTTCCTCCATATTTTTTCATTTAAAGAATGTATTGCTTTGTGTAAGGTAAATGAACAGCAGCGCAGTCAAATTTTATCAACCATCCCAAGTATCATCTACCATTAAATGAATAAAATAACCTCCCACAAAATGTGATCAACACTATGATGTTTGGTATACAACTATGTACACATACAACATATAGAAACCCAAATATAAATGTTTCGCTTACCGATGGACTTAATTTATCAACAATCATCTCTAGCAGGTTGCTCTCAGCCAACCATTGCATCACATCTATAAAATTGGGATATGCATGATCATCAGCACCGACAAGTCGAACCAAAACCTGAACAAATAACTTATTTCAGAACCCATTCTAGCACATTAGCAAGATCTCAATTAAGCCATGGGTATTGGTAGATAGATGTTTACCTCCATGATGGAAGTAATGCCTATCAAATCAACCAGTTGGCGTAATACATGCTGATGGGCCTGCAGAAAGTATGCTGAAGCATGAATGCAAGACCATTTCACAAGGATACCACGTGACATACAGGTTAACTCTAAAATAGACTACAAACAGCATTGCATAAAGATACTATGAACAAAAGGAAAAAGTTTTTAACCCGGTGGTAGTTTATTGTCATCTTAAAAATGTAAAATATCATTTTATAATAAAAACAATTACTAAAAATCAACATTATTCCCCTTACTTGAACATAACTGATAAGTTGTGATGTCTTCCGGATCATTAGACTAACAACCACCTGGAAATGGCAAGACATTAATATCAAGCAAGTGATTTCAACACAACCGTATAGCTACTGTAGATAAAATGTTATAAAAACAAAAACTTTTAAAGGTCAAACATGTACCTTGCTGAAGTACCCAGCCAGCAAGGTGCTATGAGAACGGTCAGGCTCCAAGAAAGAGAACAATAAGTTCATGAGCTGCAATAACAAGAATGGTAAGTGAAAATAAGTACAAGCAAAGCATCGTCACATAAAGTAGAACAAAATCAAGGTGGGTCATGAAAATGGAGTATAGACCTCTTCTTCATCCACCAAGGTCTTCAAAATGACATCAATTTCACATGTAAAGATCTCACAGGCCATGAACGGAAACCTAAATCATAGATCAATTATCAGATGCTAAATCGGGGTAAACAAGGAAGTTGAAACATTGAAACAAATTATTTCTTAAAACTGCCTACTTGAAGATCCGTTTGTTTTCAGCATCGATTGGTGGTTCTTCAATAATGTAGCGAAGCAATTGCTCAACCTGCTCTTCATCTCTCAAACTGAAAGCAAAAAACAGCAATAGCAAAAAATTAGCAATCATCTTCGGTATCCAGCCTGTGCTTTATGCAATTAAACTTACTCTCAGCTCACCTAACGCTGAAGCTAAAAATGGACAGATACAGAATATAAGTAAAACAACAACAACTAAGCCTTGGTTTTCACTATATATACATTGATCCTTCGATATCATTAGACTCTGACAAACAAAAATAAGCATCGGAATGGATGAAAATTGTTAGGGAAAGAAAAAGTCCATTATTTTGAACTGAACAGAAACATACAAGTTAATGAGACGACTGTTCAAGGCCTTGCATTCCTGGATTATTTCCTCTTCATCCAGAAGCTCTTCCAAAGTGTAATTATCCTTGTCCAATACTACCTCGACCTGTAGATCATCAGCAACACAAAGACATTGAGCAAGTAAATAAGCTAGGCAAGCTTTCAGCCACCCTAGACTTTGATTGTAAAAACAAGCAGCCGTCTTAATAGCTTTAATTTAATAATATATCATTACAAAGAACATAGAAATGCGATAATCATGAAAAAGTAAAGCAAGATTTCGAGAACTGCCTTCAATTAGAATTCAAATCTATAAACAAATGAAGCAAAAATTTCCATTAGAAAAATACAACAACCGGAAACTGCCTTCGAAATTTGAATTCAAATCTACAAAAAACACAAAAGCTAAAAAGTTTTTAAAGAAGCTTTTCATTAGATTCTTCTTTTTACTTTTTTTCCACAAAATTCGTAGTAATCTGATTGTATAGCTTTAACCACGAGAACTTTCCAATAATCAGTAAACATATGCCCAAATCAACACCTTAAGATATAGGGAAGGTAAGAAAAGTAACATACAAAACATCAACTGTTACTTAATTGAATAATTCGCTGACTAAAGAGACTGAAATTCACAACCGAATTAAAGCATAGAAGGAAAAAAACGAAAGTTAAGATAAATTCAGTCCAGCAAATGAAAAAGAAAAAACTACGCTAATTAAAAACACACGAAGCTAGAAATTAACTAAGCAAAGTGAAAGAACAATTAATCGTTAGCAATTAAAGAGAAATTAACTACTACAAAATAAAAACCATGAATTCAAAAGAGAGAAACTAAAATTAACTGATACTCCAACTGAAGAGGCAAAGAAAAACTAAAAACGAGAGAAAGAATTGAAGAGGAAATTGAATACAACAGAACATAACGGAATTCGAGTATTTTCAGTAAGAGTTAGAAACTCACCGGAGAGGAAGCGGATACGGAGGGAAGCTTCCAAAACATGACGGCGGAGGAGGATGGGATCTGTGAAGCGTCGGTGAATCTAGCCGCGGAGCATGGAATTGGAGAGGTGAAGATGGGGAATTGTAAACCCTAATTTGGATGATCGAAAATACGCAAGGGCTTGAAGAATGATAGAAGAGTGTAGAGAGAGAGAGAGAGAGAGAGAGAGAGAGAGAGAGAGAGAGAGAGAGAGAATGATGGTATTGGTAGCTACGGGAATGGAATGAGGAGTGAAATGAAAAGAAGGGGAAAGGGATTCAGTACAAAAATAATAATGTACTCTCGGAAATTATTAGTTTCTTTTCTATTTTGTGAGGTTTTTGTAAATATTATTCTTTATTTTATTTTGTTTTCAAATGTATGGGAAATATTAAAATACGTCTACTGGTCTATGACTACACATTTGTATAATGTCAATCATATTTTATGAAATTCTGGGAATTATTTATTTTCGCTAAGTATATATGGAAATTTTAATTTGACTTTGAGATTTGATATTTTTACTAACTCTCATAAAATTGGTCAATTTGTTTTTAAAATTTATTGTTTGTTTTGATTTTCCGTTCATATTTTTTAACTCTCATAAGATTGGTCAATTTATTTTTAAAATTTATTGTTTGGTTTGGTTTAGTTCATATATTTTACATGTAAATGTATTTTTTCTCTATTTTAAAATAATGAAATTTTAATTTTTTATGTTTTTAAATAAATTGTCTTCATTTTTAATTGTTTATATGTTTTGGTCTCGATTTATTATGTCGTTGGTTCTAGCCTATTATGAGGGTTATTTTTATGAAGTAGGAATGTTTAAATTTACATGTCATTGTATTTCTCATCTATTTATTTATATTTATGAATATTAAATTTGTTTATCTAAAGACTTGATTTAACGGATGAGAAATTTATCGCGCAAGAAAATCACTAATATTTTTAATAGATTGTTTATTTCAATCTTAGTTCTCTCAGTACTTCTTTATCTCCTTTTGTTTTTAATCTATCTTTTTCTCTATGATGGTTCCTCAGCTTCGCTTTTATCATGTGTTGTTTGGTTGTTCGTTTTTGTCTAGTGTGGGCTTCCCTTATAGGTGTTTGTGTTTGAGTTGTATTTTTTCATGGTATTTTCTTGTTTTTCCCTGATTCTTGCTTGATGCGTTTAAGTTTGATTTGTCTTATTTCTCAATGAACCTTTTATGTTTATCTTTGTTCTCGCCCTTTGATCTTTCTGATGTTAGCCTTGTTTCTTTCTCCTCTTTTGGGGATTTGTCATTAGTCTTGGTTTCGTGGAGATTGTGAACCCCAATTTCCATTACCCAACTGACAATGAATCCATGGAACATATTGATACCAATATTGATACGGTGTGTCACCTTGTCTTGTGAAAACAAAAAATGCAACAAAAGAAGATAACCATCAAAGCCTACATAATCAACATCAATCAAGTCACATTGTTCAAAAGTCTAGAGCTCATATTATTCCCCCTATTACCCACTCTAGTTTATTCACATAGATGAATCCTCTCACAATCCTCAAGGCCTCATTAAATAACTTAAAAGACACAGTTTTTCTTATGTACGAAGATGAGGAAATATAAGAACAATATCAAAACTCAAGAATATCGATATCGGGAAAAATAGTCGCATAAAAGCCCATTCATATGAGGTATATGCAGACAGCCCTAGCCAACATAAGGTGTAACCCAAAGAATCTTGAGGTGGAAGAAGTTGATACGACCATTTTCAACATTTATGTGGATAGTATTGAAGATCACAAGCAAATATTAAAGGGTAGCCACTGGCTCTTCAGGAACTCCTAGTTGATTTTACAATAATGGGATGATAGAGCAATGACTGAACAACTTGATTTTTCAAAATCCCTTGCGTGGGTCCAGATTTGGGGGTTACCTCTCATGGGTAAAACAGTTCAGATGGGGTTGAAACTATGAGCAAAATTAAGGGAGGTGTTGGAAGCGGGTGTATTTAATATGCAGGATTGAACAATAATTGTGAAAGTTAGATTTCTCATGAGCACTAAATTATTTATCATGTGGAAATCAACTGAGTTGATTTTAGGTATGAGAATTTTCCTTTATTATGTTTCTATTATGGCTACATGGGTCACAATGAGTAATTATGCAACAAACATGTTGCTCCTATATCACAAAAATTAATCCTCTAGGACCATGGATGAAAGTTACTCAACTAGGCAGGCGCCAAATTCCTCTAGCTGAAAGAAAGTTCAACAACAACTCCCTAAGCAAGCTTAATGTCATCCTCCGTAGTTTAATCCCTAAACCCATGATGGAAAAAATAGCCATCCTAGATGTTAGCGAATGAAAGAACACAATAGAGAGTGACACAGATGATTCACACAATCATGACAAGAAACGAAGAAGTTTTTAGCTAACAGACAAGATTCTTAATCTACCAAAAACATCACCTATGAATTTAGCATGCCTTATAGATAAAGCGGTCAAGAAATGATGAAGATACTCTCTTGGGATTGTCGGGGTTGGGAAACCCCCAAAACCATTAGAGCATTTAAGCATATGATAAGATCCTACTCTCATAATATTATTTTTCTATTTGAAACCCAAAAATGTAGTTTTGATAATATGTATAATAGTTTAATGAATATTAGCTCCTTAACCAATATTCATAGTGACAGTTGTGGCAATAGTGGTCTAGGTAGTGCTATGGGCTTTCCTTAATGTGGGGTAATGATGTAAATTTGCTCATTATAGAATCTAATAAAAATATGATTGATTTCTACATTATGTCTAATAATAATAGCAAAAATAACATTCTTTTAAGGGGAACTATGATATATGGGTATCCAAATAATCAATAATTTTTCTGATTGTCGTTTGTTTAATTTACGTTATGTAGGCCACATGGCGACCTGGAGCAATAATCAATAGTGAAATAAGTTCATCTCGGTTAGACTAGATATATTTTTTGCCACTAAGGGTTGGAATCAGATTTTCCAATACTACCAAAACACTCACATGCCTAACTCCAAATCATACCATACCCCTATCATGCTCATGTATCATTCGGATCTATACCAGCAAACTAAAAGGAATAAAAAAGATAAATAAAAAAAATATTTAAGAATATATGATTAGAAAACACATATATAAATGATATGGACAAACAAGTATGAATGGCATTCCTAATTGGGATCCTGAAGATAAGCTACTTAATACTCTTGATGTGTTAAGTGATTGGGAATAACCAAATTTCCTAATCCTCGCGCATAGATAAAAATCTTAACAACACTTTTAACAACTTCTGATGTTCTAATTTTTTCAACAAGAACAAGCATCAAACGGATAATATTAAGCGCAGAATAAACCACATGCTTCACCAGGTTGAAATATGGTGGGCTAAGAGGGCCAAAATTCACTAGTTAATAGTGAGTGACAGGAACACCAAGTTATTCCATCAAAAATCAAACTAGAGAAAAAAACTACAATCGAATTAAATTTATGCTTAAGCATAACGTGAAAACCACTTACAAAGAGGATGAAATGTAAGATACTACATTGCAGTTTTATAGGGAGCAGTTTAAATTTGAAAGTGTGTTTATTCACTATGACTGCGACCAAAGTTAGACCAACGGAATCTCTGAAGATATTATTCACCAGCTTAATAGCTCTTTCGCCAGAGAGAATGTGGTTAACGTTATGAAAAACTTAAAGAGAAATGTTGCTCTTGGACCACTCAGTAAACACAACCATAATTAGTACATATTTGGTAAAACATGAAAACTAACTATAATAGATAAACTACAATTTCAAAATTACTCACTCATCGACAAATGGTGCTAAGTAACAGTATTTATTTAATTTTTTCTATAGTTTCCTGTAACCCCCGCAAGACAATCTATGTAGGTATTTGTTTTTTGCTTTGTTTAGCTTCCCTGATTCACTTTTAACATGTTATAAACATAGTAAAAATATTAATTTGCATGGTTTTATCTATAAAACATAAGCATAAAATTATCAGAAAATAAGATTACTATATTAACCAAGAAATCAGTAGAATTACGAGCCTTCGCAAACTTTTCCCAAACTTTCTTGCAAATAAAATTATATTTTACAGTTGGATGCTTAAGATCAGCCTTAGGATTTGTAATGTAGTTACGCTTGAGATGTGACTTAATTCCCCTCCAACGCTCTCACCAGCATAAGTGATTAATTTTTTCTTCAATTTATCATCAGCAATAAACTTAAAAGTCGACTACACTTACATTAATAAGTATGTATTAGTAATTGAAAAAAAAATACTATCGAATTGTAAGCAAATACTATTGAATAAGTACAATTGCATCAAATTATTACCTTAACATTTGTCTATATGTTTTTTTTCACATCTTTTGGTACTTGAATCCAATTATCAATCAAAATACTCATTTTTCTACGTTCAATAAATGCAATATAACTCCTAAAAATCGAAGAATTTTCACCATAACATGTCCAAGTTACGAGATAAAACTCGATCAACGGTCTGTCACTTGAGTTGCGGACTTTTGTTAATCTAGCCATCATTGTAGCACCTATTTGTTTTCTTTTCTTTTTTCCCTATATAGTTTGAGATTCATTGTTTTGAGAATCAATTGTATGAGTATCATTTGTATGAGTTTATTCTCTAGATTATGAAGAGTCCATCTATGTTCAAAAACAACAAAAGGGAGTAAACCAATCATAACAAAAACATTCAAACAACAACAACAATGTGTCTAACAAACATTCATAAACAACAACAACAACAACAACAATAACAAAAACAACAACGTGTCTAATACACATCCATCGAAAATAATATATAAACAATAATAACAATAACAATGTGTCCAATACACATTCATCATCAACAACATATAAACAACAACAACACAATAAATGTGTATCATATACATTCAGCAACATCATCATATAAACAACAATAATAATAATGTGTCTAACACACATTCAACAACAACAACATCAACATTCAACA